GGTTTCCACGTTGGCGTGAAGGGGCCAAACCTGACAGGGTTTTCAGCTTTTGATTCCCCGGAGAGAATCTAGCTGCCACAGTGACTGACAGCGGTCAGTCACCTTTTCACTCTCTTTCTTTTCTCTGTACTAGACGGGTGGAAACTGTTAGTTCCTAAAAGCTTAGAGAATCTATGCTCCGCCCTCCAGAAGGTTAGATTAGAAAAAGAAATTATCAAGGAAAGTGTTAGTTTCAGAACTCGCTGTGCCCTCCTGAAACTAAAACAAAGATTATTGCTGCTGCTGTGTGGTTCAGAACAAAACATTTCATGACCCATTTAAATGATCTGATGAGCACTTATTTAAAACATAACTGAAAGAAAAATAAATTGCTTCAAGTTCAAAACATTTGCAAATATGATTCAGACAAGTAAAACATTGATATTTCATCAACTTAAACCATAAAGATTATTTTAGTTAAATAAGAATTTTTCCCACAGAAAAACCATACATAGCTGAAATCATACTGAGGGAGAAAAGAGATCTGTCCTCTCTTCTCCTGTAACTTTGATAAACATTCTCTGATTATCAAAATGCGAAATACTTTCAGTTAAGAGAACACTAAATCAAATAAGAGAAGATTCTTCTGTTTTTATCTGATTTAGAAGGAAAGTGGCCTGGGGTGGCCTAAATACAGTTCCAAGTGGAACAGAGTTTTTGTCCATTCGAAGGCCCATCAGAGGACTGAGAGTCCAAGATAGTTCCTTGATAATTTGACTCGAGGTGACCCCTACACATCTTTAATCTGCTGTTCGAGATGGGTGACGGAGAGACAAACTGACGGGGGAAGGGTGTATTCATCCTGAGGGTGACTGTGGCTGGTGGAGTCTGGTATCCTGGATAGAGCGTCTGCCTTGGCGTTTCTTTCTCCTGGTCTGTAAGACAGTGTGAACACGAATCGGGAGAAGAAAAGTGCCCACCTGGCTTGACGGGCATTAAGCCTCTTGGCCGTCTTCAGGTATTCAAGGTTCTTATGATCGGACCAGATCACAAATGGGATCTTGGCTCCCTCAAGCCAGTGTCTCCACTCCTCAAGGGCCATCTTCACTGCCAACAGTTCTTGATCCCCCACGTCTTAATTGCGTTTGGCGCTGGTGAGTCTTCTGGAAAAGAAGGCACAGGGGTGAACCTTACCATCCTCTGCTTCTTGGCCGAGAAAAGCTCCTACCCCAGTGTTGGAGGCGTCTACTTCTACAAAAAACTGGCGAGAAGTGTCAGGAGTCCGTAGGATGGGAGCTGAAACAAACAGATTCTTGAAACAATTAAAAGCATTGTTAATTTGATTGTTCCAAGTGAACTTTTCCATTATCGAGGTCAAAGCATGGAGCGGAGCAGCGACTAGACTGAAATTTTTGATGAATCTGCGATAAAAGTTGGCAAATACTAAGAAGCGCTGCAGTTGCTTGCGGTCTTGTGGTGTTGGCCAGTACTTTACGGCTTTGATTTTGTTTTGGTCCATCGAAACTTGGTTGGGAGAAATGATGAAACTTAGGAATGAGGTGGTGTTCTGATGAAATTCGCATTTCTCTGCCTTGACAAATAAATTGTTCTGTAGGAGCCTTAGAAGGACCGCTCTCACATTCATCTTGTGCATGGTCAGATCTTTGGAAAAAAATCAGTATATCATCCAGKTATACAAAAACAAACTGGTTGATCATGTCCCTAAGAACATCATTAACTAATGCCTGAAAGACTGCTGGTGCATTAGTGAGACCAAATGGCATGACAAGGTATTCGTAATGGCCAGTGGGGGTATTAAATGCCATTTTCCACTCATCTCCTTCTCTAATGCGGACGAGGTGATAAGCGTTACGCAGGTCTAGTTTGGTGAAAACTGTAGCCCCCTGAATGAGGTCGAAGGTCGAAGACATGAGTGGCAAAGGATATTTATTTTTGATAGTAATATTATTGAGACCTCTGTAGTCAATACAAGGCCTGAGGGAGCCGTCCTTCTTACTAACAAAGACGAATCTGGCTCCAGCAGGAGACGCAGAGGGCCTGATGATACCAGCCTGTAAACTCTCCTCAATAAACTTCTTCATTGCCTGACTCTCGGGAAGTGACAGGGAAAAAGCCTGCCCCTGGGGGGAACAGTGCCAGGGAGGAGGTCATTGGGACAATCGTATGGACGGTGAGGTGGCAACGAAGAGGCTTTGGCCTTGCTAAACACATCTTTAAGATAGTGGTATTCAATAGGAACCTTGGACAAATCAGGATCTATGAGGCTGGTGATTTCAGGAGGAGCAGGTTGGCCCATAGCATCAAGCAAGCATGATGATAAACACTCATTGGCCCAGCTAATGATCTCTCTTTTGACCCAACTGATGTGGGGATTGTGTCGCCTGAGCCAAGAGTTGCCCAGAATGATGGGTAACTGTGGTGATTTGATTATATAGAACTTAGAGACTCAGGGTGGTTGCCCCCCAAAATGAGATGGACCGGCTCAGTTTCTAAACTGTCTATTGAGAATATGGCCATCTAATGCAGTGACTCTTTGATCTTTAACTGAGGGTATGGTCTGAATACCCAATGCCTTAGCAAAATCCTGATCCATGAACTCTGTGTCTGCCCCAGAATCTATGAACACTTTGGTATAATATTTATTACCTATGAAAAAAAGTTCAGCCGGGAGAACAAGCATAGAGGAGACATCAAATTTATTTATATCTCAACAGGACTCTCCTTGATCCTGTTGAGTCTGACCTTTTACTGGACATTGCCTGACCATGTGTCCCTTGCCGCCGCAGTAGAAGCAAAGGTTACCTTGGCTTCRTCGTTTGCATTCCTCTCGGGAGACCTGAACGCRTCCAAGCTGCATTGGCTCATCCATAGGAAGGGCCTCCTTAGGAGCAGATGGCATGGGGGAACTGCTCCTGACCTTCCAAGGAGATGGAGGTTCAGTTCTGCCTTGTCTTTCCTGTCTTCATTCCAACAGGCGGAGATCGATCTTGGTGGCAAGTTCCTCAAGATCCCGAAGGTCATCTGGACGTTCTCTGGTGGTAAGTTCGTCCTTGATTTTGTCACTGAGGCCATGAAAAAAATACATCAATGAGAGCAGGTTCATTCCAGTGACTTTCAGCAGCTATGGTATGAAAGTCTATGATATAATCAGTGACCCTTCTATTGCCTTGTTTAATCGAAAACAATCTTCGAGCAGCCTCACGCTCAGGTAAAACAGTAATGACTTCATTAACAAAATCCTTGAAAACATAGCAGACATGAGCATCCCGCTGCCATTCAGCTGCCCCCCACAACTTAGTTTTTCTGGTCAGTAAAGAAATTACGTAGGCGACCTTGGCCCTTTCGGAGGGGAATGATGATGACTGCAGCTGAAAGTGCATTTCGCACTGTGTTAAAAATGGTCGGCACTGTTTGGACTCACCATTGAACATTTCAGGTGGGGGCAGCTTGGGTTCATACCAGTGGCGGCTGGTGGAATTTTCTCCAGGTGGGGCTCCAACTCCAAAATAGACGTATCCCAAAAAGCAACCAAACATGTACTAAGTTGTATCATGCCAGTGTATTTAATTAAACAAATGACAATAATAAAACAGCATTACAATGTCATGTAGTGTTTTATTTTAATTCATAAATTTTGCTCTTCTGTTACTTAGAAGCAAATTTCTTCATGACTCTGGTTAAATTCAGGGATGTTTTAACCAGATTCTTATAGAGCATGGTCAGTGCAGTGATGTGATGTTGAACCTGAGAAAAGTCTGGATTCTCTTCAGTGTTCATCTCCTCTCAGATTCAGCTGTGGTCAGAAGAGATGTGATGAGAATCTTCAGCAGAGTTAGTCTCTGAAGATGTAGATTGTTCTCCATGAAGAGCTCCACAGCACCATTGCCACTCCTGATCTCATAAAAGCCTGTTGAATGTTTAGCTTGGTCCTGTTCAGCATTGCATCCTCCATGGTGGTGAACTGGAGACCTGCAGGAACATCTGCCTGCAGCTCTGATCAGATACTTGTGAATGAATCTTCATTTTTTTGAGTGTTCCTGAATGCCAACAAGTTGCACTTTGGAATGACCTTATTATTGTATCATGTTTTTGATCTGAGTTTGTTTTACAGAATGAAATGTCTGAATGAGTGCTCATCCAAGACTGGTGATTCCATAGTTTTTGCCAGGGGTTGAATCTCATCAGTCCTGCTGAACTTGAGTTCTTTTTCTCAAAAAGGAGGTCATTCAGAAAGTTATTTTCAGCAAATAAGACATTAACTGTTTGTAATCGTTTCACGGAACCTAGGTAAGATTTTCAGATTTTAAAAACTACAGTGGCTTACTAAAGTGACTAGGTGACAATCATTTATTTTATGATTTATGATGTTTTTATCTGCGTTCAAGTCTTTCCCTGTTAGTAAAATATCTAATGAACCAGTGAACGGAGTGTGGATATGAAGCTTGCAGAAGTTAATAACATCTACAACTGTCCAAATTTTGGAGTCAACCCACTTAAAGGTGGCTGCTACAGCCGCCTGAACTTAAAAACACAAAACTGTTTCTAACTCAACCTGTTTTACAGAAAGTGATCTTGTTTGGTGCGGTTAGACGTATTTAGGTATTTTAAGTAAAATTTGTTTGCTGATATGTTTCAATATTTAGGAGATTCGTTGAATTATCATGTTTTATTTGTACCGTCAAATAACTATGAAAGAAGACTCTGGTATAGTTATTTTACTGAAACTGGTTTTTTTTGTTGAATATAACACAGTTTGAACGTACTGCAAGTATCTTTGAGTCAGAATCACATCCATCTGCTGCTTCTGTCTCGGTCAGAYGAAWCAGATATTTACTGAGTTCTGTCATTTTGGTTTTTCAAACTAAAAGTATTCCTCTCAGTATCGAAAATCTTATTTACAGGGTTAATACAGGTGACTTAAAAAACTTCAAGTCCTTGAATTTTACTGTGAAATGAGTGTAGCAAGCCTGTATTTCTGTATTTGCGTTGTTGTGTTTCAGGCCTGTTGGCATCGGTCCCGTCGACCAATGGGAACGGAAATGGAGGAATGATGGCTTACTCTCCTGGAGAGCAGCAACCAGGGACCAACAACAACAACAACTCACACTGTAGGTCAATGTTTGAAAAAGTTAAATTATTTTAATGACAGAAGTTACATTTTCTGTAAAAATCTGAATGGTATACTACATGCTAAATAATTTTGCTGAAACCTAATGAGGAAACTTAATGAGTCGCCTAATGGTTTGCCAGAAACTCCTCGAGGCCAATCAAAAGTCCTTCTCTATGGCCTCCCCGAATTACTCCCACACCCAAGTTTTTGCATCTGCAACCAGCAAAGCTGCAACCCCCTTTGCCACTCTGTGTCTGTCAGCTGCTTCAGGAGTCCTCCCGAAAGCCAAGTCCTGAATGCTTCCTTCTTCAGCCTGACTGCCTCCATCACCTCTGGTGTCCACCAGCGGGTCCTTTGGTTGCCACTACGACAGGCACCGATGACCTTCAGGCCACAGCTCCTGGAAGTYGCATTTGCAATAGAGGTCCTGAACATGGCCCATTCAGATTCCATGTCCCCGACCTCCCCCGGGACATGTGAAAAACTCTCTCGGAGGTGAGAGTTGAAGATTGCACAAATGGGGCACCGCCAAACGGTCCCACTTCACCCTCACTATACGTTGRGGTTTACCAGGTCTGTCCAGCAGCCTTTTCAGCTCACCACCAAGTGGTAATCAGTTCACAGCTCTGCCCCTCTCTACACCCTAGCATCCAAGACATAKGGCCTCAGGTCCGATGACACGATTACAAAATCGATCATCGACCTTTGGCCTAAGTACACTTATGACCACTCTATGCTCAAACATGGTGTTTGTAATGGACCCATGCTTACCACAGAAATCCAGTAACAGAACTCTGTTCAGGTTCAGATCAGGGAAGTCGTTCCTCCCAATCACCTCTTCCAGATAACTCTGTCATTGGGCATTGAAGTCACCCAGCAGAACAAGGGAGTCTCCAGATGGCACCCCTTCTAGGACACCATCCAAAGACTCCAAAAAAATGCCGGGTAATCTGAACTGATGTTTGTTGCATAAGCTCAGATGACAATCAGAACCTTCCCTCCTGTAGCACAAAGCCACAGAAAGGCAACACTCTCGTCCACCAAAGTGAACTCCAATACAGTGRCACACAGCCGGGGCCTTGTGAGTATCACCACACCCGCTCGTCATCTCTCTCCCTGAGCAACTCCAGAGTAGGAGAGAGTCCAGCCCTTCTCCAGGAGTTGGGTTCCAGAGCCCAGGTTGTGTGTTAAAGTGAGTTCAACTATTTCTAGCTGGCAACGCTCAACCTCACCCACAAACTGCAGCTCCTTACCCATGAGTGAGGTTACGTGCCATGTCTCTAGATCCAGAAAACAGAGTACCCGGGATCACGGGGGTACTCAAAACCCTCCATGTTGAGGTGGCAATTTTGCAGAGGGGATCCAGTTTAATAGAATATATACAGTATAATATAAATGTTGATAAGTCACTGGCATGTTTTGTGCTTTGTTGTAGTAGCTGGAGTGTCGGGGAGCTCAGTTACAGCAGGGAACGGCWGTGGAAGCATCTTATTTAACTTCGACAGTGAAGAACAGACCGGACCCCGCAGTGTTGGACAACAGCAGCAACGACTTAACACACTGCCATCAACTCAGCAGCAGCATGGTAAACCACCATGAGATCTTTCATTTTTCTCTTCATTTTATATTTTGTTTGTGTTGTTGGGTTCAAGGGTATAAAAACGCTTTAAATACAGCAACGTTTTGTTAAATTTTGTGTATTAAAGGCAGCAAACGTAATGTAGTTTTGCTATTTAGCATCAAGCTTCAACAATGGTGGCTGGCTAATTTTTTTTATCATTATTATATAAACACGTGACGGCTAATATTATGAATTTGCTCCGATCACTTTTAAGGACAATTTTAAGTGTTTCTAAAAATAACAAAACTGATCTGGACCGTCTGTCAATCAATCATGTGATTACATCTAAATATAAATTTCTGTTCTTTCTGTTCTTCTCTGTTCAATGCTAATTTGAGACCAGAAATAAAGACTAACATAGTATTAATTAATTCATGGATGGATCCAGACCAGAGTGTGGACTTTGAGAATCATTGATTTGAGCTGACAGAAAGTCTACATTTAGATGTTTTTATACAGAGGAAGTATCTGTCAGGAAAGAGCTGCACTTTTCTCTGGATCCCCTCTGACCTCTGTCATGTTGTACAGTTTGGTGAAGTTGCTGCTTCACGAAGCCAGTGTAAAATATGTTTTCTGCATTCACATTTTGTTTTATAATGTACAGCAGATGTGTCAAACTCATTTTCACCGAGGTACTTCACATATGAGACATATGTAGATCCATCTCACACTCATGTGGATGAAATTCTGAGTCATAATAACTCTTGGCCAGATGTAACCTTCAGCGTGTCCTCTGCAGGATACCACTCAGTGCCAGATGCCAGTCAGAACATCCCCAGCAGCCGACTTCATCATGAGTTTGCTGTTCCTCAGCATCCAGGTAGGAAGCTGGAGCGTGCTTTAGGTCTTAATCAAACATGTTTCTTCTTGAATGTTACTAACCTTAAAGATGTCTTACATAAATAGAAAAAAAACTTCAAATTTCTGTCTAGAAAGTTATAATTTTCTGCCACAAGAGGGCAGTACAGTAACACTATCACCAGGCTCTGCTCTGTAAACACGGATCAAAGATGACGTCACTGTGATCATGACCATGTCTTTTTTCTTTTTCCGGGACCTTCAGGACTCCTCCTGCACACGAGGGGCAGCATCACAGGGAAGCGGGAGCGGGAGTCAGAGCGAGAAGGGTCGGGGGAAGAAGAGCCAGCGACCTGCTCTGTACACAAAATGCAGAGACAGAGTTCAGAGGTCAGACTTTTCCTCATGTCTGACACTTCAAGTCTAGTATTTAACTCAGATCTAAATATCTCAACATTTTTCTCTTTATAAATATGCAATTCTCTGTAGTTTCCTCAGGACCGATCAATCACCAGAGATGACCTGAAGTAGGACTGACTGTCCTTCAGTTAGCTCTGAGTCAACACTGTTCAAATATTTATCACACTCCACTCAAAGATAAAGGTGGACATAAATGTTCTCCGTATTTCTGGTTTTTACCTCTTTAGGACCTTTCCTGGTACAATAACCCACCTTGTGAGGCCGGTAGTCCTCATGAGCCCAAACCCTGTATGGTGGATCGCCATCTTGGGGTTAGGTTTCTGGCCACAGTGTGAAACGAGTTTATGTTCGGGAAGGAGATTTACAGTGAAGGGTTTGGTTTAGGGTTAGGCTACAGAAATAAATGGAAGTCAATACAATGTCTGTCAGCAAAATGTCTCATGAACTGGACTAGTTTTATTGATCTACAACAGACTAACTTTTGGAGTCAGCCTGACTCAAGATGGCCACTAAAGCCTGCTGGTTTTTGAAAACAGATGTTGAGATAAACTTTGATGTGGTAGTAGCTGAGAGTCATTTCCCAACTAGGCATGGGCCGGTTACCRGTTTCACGGTATACCGTGATTCGAAAAAGTCACGGTTTCAAAACCACTAAAATTTTCTGTCATACCGCTCCTACGGTATAAGCATTTTTTGTTTATTTTTCCTCCGGTCTGTATATAAACATGCATTCATAGTTGTGATTTCTGTACTTTGTGTGCGTGTAATTATATAATCTTTATGTGAAAACACCCCTTCGTAATTTAAAACACAATAGAAATTCCCAACGTGAGAAATAACTAATAAAAAGACTTTTCATGCAGTATACACTGATTTGTCTTAACTAATAACAGTTATCTTTTTAGATGTAAACTTTATCAGGATAACCTAATTGCATTTGATGTTAAAAATCACAAGTATAGAAGCACACAGGTAAATAAAATTTCAGCATAACACCTCTGTGATCTAAAAACAGCTTCCAAAAATAATTAAAGTTGATAATAGAAAATATATTTTCTTTTTTGTTTTTAAATATCAATTTCAAAACAAAATGTTTAGAGCTGTGATCATGAAATTGTGAAACTGTGATATTTTTGACCAAGGTCGTCATGTCATGTTTTCGTACTGTCCCATGCCTATTCCCAACACACTGAGTGTCAGGTTTGGCACAGGAATGAACCCAAGTCCGGATGGAGAATAAGAATTTAACAAAAATGATTAATTTAACAAATAAAACAAAAGAGCAAAATAAAACAGCAAAATAAACTAAAACACAAAGGAGCCACAGGGAATACAGGGACAACGAGACAGATGGACAAGCCATGTAATGATCCAGTGATAGTGATGCATCTCAGTAATCCAGGTAAAAAAATCAAAAAGAAAAAAATTGTATAGGTCTTCTGGATGGGTTCTTCTCTAATGAAACTTTTCGTCTCTCCTCCAAGAGACCTTCAGAAGCCATTTTTGTGAAGAAAGACGGTCCATCATTAAACAGAGGTGGAGGCCTCCGTTTTCAGTTGTCCCCCCCCTACAGCGCTGCTATTGCCAGTATCACGCCGCCCCCTGTTAACAATAGGTGTTAATTAGGTGTCAACGATAGCCATGTGATGTCAGTATCAGTCACATGGAAGCAGTGCTTAAAAGCCTGAATTTTGCCTGAAACTCTCAAACTGAAGAAGTCTCTTGGAGGAGAGACGAAACGTTTCATTAGAGAAGAACCCGTCCAGAAGACCTATACAATTTTTTTCTTTTTGATCCAGTGATAGGAGAGAAGTATTTATTCCCGCAGAGGAAGAGAGAAGGTGGGCAACAGCTGAGGAAGACTAATTGGAAACTACTGACACGTGAGAGATAATTGAACAGGTAAACAGCAGGAAACAGGCTGAGGAGAAATGATGAGCAGTGACACAAGGAGTACACAAGAGGGAGACCACAGACAAGACACAAACCCAACATTACCCCCCCCCCCCCTCAACAAATCGTCACAGACGATTTACGGACAAGCATGGGTGTGGGGTACAAAACACTAAGGCAGGATGGAGGGCAAGAGACAAAAGACGAAGGAAACACGAAAACAGAAGACGCAGAAAACGAAACCAAAAACCGACAGGAGAACTCTGGGAAAAACAACAAAAACAGTCACAAAGATGGCCCTAGGCACATCTGAAGAGGGCAGAAAGTTCAGGTTGGCGCCCAGCAACCCAACACAGATGAGGCAGGGGCTCTGGAGGGACACCGTGGACCCGGTCGCAGTGGAGGCGGAGCTCTGGAGGGCAACCATGGACCCGGTCGCGGCGGAGATGGAGCTCTGGAGGGCAACCGTGGATCCGGTCACGGCGGAGCTCTGGAGGATGGCCGTGGATCCGGCCACGTAAGGAGACGGATCTCTGGTGAACGGCCCTGGACTCAGCCGCTGAAGAGACGGATCTCTAGTGGATGGCCCGAAGCCAGGCCGCGGAGGAGATGGAACCCTAGTGGGCGGCCCAGGACTCGGCCACTGAATAGACTGGGCTCAGAGGAGACTCTGGAGGAGCCTTCAGAGGAGACTCTGGAGGAGAGCTCAAGTGGGGCTGCAGCTGATGGTGAAAGCTCAGGACCGGCCGACGTGGAGATCTCGGCTGCAGGCGGCATGGAGACCTCAGCTGCAGGCGACGTGGAGACCTCAGCTGCAGGCGGTGAGGTCTCAACTGGAGCAGAGGCCAGTGTGGACTTGGGAGCAGAGACCGGCGGAAAGACCTTAGGAGCCTCAGGCAGGCCCGGGGACTTCACAATCTGACCCAGGGGCTCAGTAGGCTCAGGCTGGCCTGGGGACTTCACAATCTATCCCAGGGGCTTTGTAGGCTCAGGTGCTACTTCTGGCTCTGAGGGCTCTGGTACGGACTCCAGCTCTGTGAGGTCTGGTGCTGACTCTGGCTCTGTGAGGGCTGGTACTGCCTTCGGCTCTATGGGCTCTGATGCTGTAGCAAGCGTGGACAACACCTCCACAAGAGCTGCAGTGAGGAACACAACCACAGCAGCCAGGGTGGTGACCACCACTTCCCTCCCCTCAAGACCCTCCACACAGGAGGTGGAGGCGTCGAACCACTGGAGAACGCAGGGAGCGGTAGAGGCGTCGACCCTCTGGGGAGCGCAGATAGAGGTGAAGGCGTCGAACCTCGCCAGAATACAGATGGAGGTGGAGGTGTCGACCTCTCTGAGGCGCTGGGAGCRCAGGAGGTGGAGGCATCGAATCTCACCGGAGCATAGATGGAGATGGAGGCGTCGACTCTCCCAGAGGCGCTGGGAGCGCAGGAAGTGGAGGCGTCGAACCTCACCGGAGAACAGATGAAGGTGGAGGCGTCGACCTCTCGGAGGCGCAGGTGCCTGGAGTTCTCAAAAGCCCTCTCGGAGGTGGCACTGGGGGAGGTGTCCAGGACCCTCTCAGAGGAGACGTTGGCGGGAGAGACAGTGGGGGCAATGGAGAGCCGAAAACCATCGGCCCGGCTGAGCAGTACCCGGCATACTCAGGACAGAAGGGATCACTCTCTGGATCGTAGTCTGGGTCATACTCAGGCTCAGGAGGGGCCGCCGCCTTTCTCCGCCGGCGACGGTGGCGCTGAGAGGAGCCGGATGGTGGAGCGGGCTTCATTACCAGACGAGTTCCCCAGAACTGCGTCCTCGCTCTCTCTTCTTCTTCCTCCAGAAGGAGAGGGGACGGGAGGACCACGATCTCTGGATCCYGATGTTCACGTCTCCAGGCGGGCTGAGCAGGTGCCATCCAGAAACCTCCCACCCGGATGACGGACTGTGGCAGCTGATCCTGCTTGGTCTTGGTTGCTCTCCGAGAATTTAGCTGTCTCTGAATTTTTCCCACACTAACTTAAGGGGGAAAAAAAAGGTCTTTTTCAGCAAACTCAAAAAAACTCATTCTCCCGGTGGGTTTGTAAGCTGACTGGATCATTCTGTCAGGTTTGGCACAGGAATAAATCCAAGTCCGGATGAAGAATAAGAATTTAACAAAAATGAAGCCATGTAATGATCCAGTGATGAGTGAAGACAAGAGAGAAGTATTTATACACAAAGAGGAAGAGAGAAGATGGACAACAGCTGAGGAAGACTAATTGGAAACTACTGACAGGTGAGAGATAATTGAACAGGTAAACAGCAGGAAACAGACTGAGGAGAAATGATGAGCAATGACACAGGGAGGACACAAGAGGGAGACCACAGACAAGACACAAACCCAACACTGAGGTGACATCTGATCGGTTCTCAAGAGATGGACCACATTTATAGTTTTTCAGCATCTAGAGCAGGGATGGAAATTACCACCCGCCACTGGCCAAATGCGGGTAAAATTATGAAGTGGCGTGTGGATCTGAACAACGCATTGCCACCGTGGTAGGTGTRTAATGAACTAAAAAGCGTTCAAATCGCACTACTGACCTTTGTCAAAACCTCAGTTTTGTTTTTATTTTGCATTTCAGAGCCTGTATAGGACGTTAAAAAACATTAAATAACATCAAACAACCATCTTCCAACCTGCTCTGCAGCTAGAAATCAGTTATTCCCTCCTTTCCTGCGCGTTGTCATCTGTGTGGTCCGCCTGCCCGCCTCGCATCACTCCCATCCCCACCCCCCCATGTGCGCGTGATACAAAAGGAGAAAATAAAAACGCCACCTTTAATGTGGTGTTTACATATCTGTAGTTAGTCGGGCAGCAGGCAACAAAACCCTTTCTCAAGAGGAACCAAAGGAAAAACTGAAAGTTGCAGTTTTTTAACAATGAATGGAAAGGGAAAAAACGGACTAAAGTGAATTTAACAGGGCAGTCAATTTTTTTTTCATCTGTCAGCAAACAGCAAAGCTAGAGCTGTAGGCATTAAGAGCAAAAACCTGAAATCAGCTGTTTAAAAACACTATTTCTAACTGCCAATGCGTGAATATTACATAAATGTTAGTTTAAAAAAATCTTCATATTAGTTGTTAAATATTTTAACTCAATAACCATGATCACTTTGATTGACCAATAGAAACTTAAGGAAAAACTGTTTTTTAACCTCTAGGAAACGTCTGAAGATCTACAGAGCCCGTGAGGTGACATGGGAGATTTTTTTTCTTTTGCGTTCATACGCAATAGTATTGCGTTACCTTGCAATACCTTTTGAGTTCCCTCGCAAAAGTCGTTTATCACAGTTGTGCCTGCCGTGCTCTGCCATGAGGAAGTTTGGCTTAAAGACACGTCGGGGCGTTTCTGTTACCAAAAGGCGTTTCTGGTCCCCACCTGTCGTTTTTCTGCTCAGCATTGCTGCCTAAAAATGCTGCAGGATTTCTCAAACGTGCATGAATGAGTCAAAGCAAGGCTTTGGGCATGTTTTTTATGAGAGTATAACATTATAACATGATATAAAACTCAAAAAAGTTGATTTTACATGATCTTGCCCCTTTAACTTTTCTCTGCAGGCTATTTTTTGTGATGCAGAACAAAACGAAAACTAAGTAAAAATATGAACCTTTTGACAAACCTTTTCAAAAGTAAAAATAGAAATGATCCCACTCCAAGACAACGGATCATCTAGAGGAATTTCCATCTGTTATTGAAATCTCACTTAGAACAGAAGAAAGACAATTTCATACTAGTAGCCTATAGAACAGAAACTACAAAGGCTGATTTTATTACATGAAGGAGATAAATTTACCACAGGTAATTTATTTGTAAGGTCATATTTGTTTTGTTTTTTTCACCTTGAAAATTTCTCCTATATTATTAAGGTTAAAAAGCTTTTTTCCAGCCAGGTAGACCACCTAAAATAATTGGTATTCCACCTACATACCAGCAAATTTAAAAAAGCCACTAATAGATTTTGAGTGCCTTTATCTAACTGTAAGCACAAACAATATAATTAGGCCACCAAGGACCATGAACTGTCTAAATGCCACCGTGTTACAGAAACAAAAAAAAATAGTGCCTGGTAAAAAGTTTCAATGGCTGGTAAAAAATTTTTCCTACCAGCCGCTGTGGCTGATGGGGAAAATTTTTAATTTCCACCCCGATCAGTAGACCTTCATTTACTTGAAAGTCCAGAATCTAGCACAGTTTAGGACTTGACTGTTTCTGCTTCCTGTCTTGTTCAGCTGCTTTTTGTTTGTTTTGTTTGTTTGTTTGTTTGTTTGTTTGTTTGTTTGTTTGTTTGTTTGTTTGTTTGTTTGTTTGTTTGTTTGTTTGTTGTTTAGGATCCTGGTCCTGTTTGGAAAACTGGTCCTGATTGGGATCTTGGTCCTGTTTGTTATTCTGGTTCTGTTTGGGATCCTGGTCCTGCTGACCCAGACTGGGCCAGTCTTCAGCAGCAGGACTGATAACTTAATCCTTCCACCWGTGTGTCTGACAGTGGGGGTGTCTGTGCTGATCTGCTGGTTCTAGTTTTCTCCAGACATGCTGCTGGGCATTATGGGTAAACAGGTCTATGTTGGTCTCGTCTGTTTGAAGGACCTTTGGTCCAAACGAGACTGACTTGTTCTGTGGTGGAAGTTATAATTTAAAGTCTGCTCCTGGGAAGATTGTTCTAAATSAAAGTTAGAATCTTTCTCTCTGAATGATGGGCTCTTTGGAAAAGAGCTTTGACCTTTGACCTAGGAGCAGCTGGAGCAAGAACAGCATGTGTCTCCTGACACACCAAACATCAGGTCAACACGTGGACAGCTGTAAAGATGCTAAGATCAGCTGTAAGATAACTTCTAAGGTTCATCAGTTGAAGATGTTCTCCAGTGATTTTGTGAAAGTTTCATTCAAGTGGGTCCACTGCTGCACAACACATGTTTCTAACAAACAAACAAACAAACTCACACAGACAGGCTGAAGGAGATAGAGAGAGTATTTTGTGTTTCCTGACATTAAAGAGGAGGTCAGCAGATGTGACTCACCTCCATGGATTCTGTTCCTCTGTGGGCTCAGCTTGTTTCTGGACTCATTGTTTTGCATGGCTGACTTCTGTTTTGTGTTTTATTACAATCAGCTTCATGACAGCTTGATATTTCCATAGATGACTCCGTCTGCTGTTAGACTGCATGATAATAAAACCTGTTGACTTTGTGGTGGGATNCACACACACACACACACACACACACACACACACACACACACACACGTGCCTCAGCAAAGGAAACAAAGACTGAAAATAAACCTGAAGGATTTGTCTTCATACAAAATGGAGCTTTTGGAACTACAAGTGTTGAATAATTACCACCTACTGTATCTCTGCACATTTTCATTTTACAGCAAAACTCAAAGTCATCATAGGATGAAGATAGATAATGGATTCGTTGAAATCTTGAAAAATAAGTTGTTCAAAAACAAAAAAAATGGATCTGAAATCGATTAGATCAGATAATTGAATCCTGGATCAAACCCTTAGTTTGTGTTGGTTTGGATAACTTTGATCCAAATAATTTGGATTATCCAGATCTCAGCAGATTTCAGGAACAAAATGTGATTTAAATTAAATTCCAACTTGTCAAATWAACAACCTTTATCATGTGGTAGATTTACATGTATTTATTATGTTTTTGCCTAATTTTCAAACCATTAGAGGTGAAATTATAGATTACTTTAGCCTCCAGATCACTGAAAGAAGGGACACCTTGCTATAAACCAACTACAGCAAACCAAAGCTGAACCTGAGAACCTTCTCCTGAAAACGAAGTTTATTTTTTTTGTTTCAGTGTTGACATTTTCATTTTAAAATGAAGTTTTAAATTTAAAACTCATAAAATGTACACTGGCTGGCCAATAAAAAGTCGCCAACAATAAAAGGTCACTCTAACATTTGGTTGGACCACCTTTAGCTTTGATGATGGCACACATTCTCTGTGGCATTGTTTGGATAAGCTTTTGCAATGTCACCAGATTTATTTTCATCCAGTGTTGCATTAATTTTCACTGAGATCTTGCATTGATGATGGTAGAGTCTGACCTTCTCCAGCACACCCCAAAGATTCTCTGTGGAGCCAATCCATGTGTGAGAATGATGTCTCATGCTCCCTGAACCACTCGTTCACAATTCCAGCCCCACGTATCCTGGCATTGTCATCTTGAAATGTGGCCGTGCCATCAAGGAAGAAACAATCCATTGATGGAATAACCTGGTGGTAGTCAGCTGACCTCATTCTTTGAGCACAAACTGTTGCTGAACCTGACCAACTACAGAAACCCCACATCATAGACCTTAGTTACATCCAGGTGGACACTTTGTTTCTGGCCGAGCAGTCTATTTTGCTTTTTAATTTTTGATATGTTGTGGTTGGTCAAGAGGTAATGAAAATGTGTGTTTGTAATTRTTACAATTTTAAAAATAAATGTATTTTGAGTGACTCGATGTTTTGCACTCAGTAGCCTTCACACAGTCTCATGTTGAGCACTCATTATCCAGATTTGGTCATTTTGAAAAGTTGGATCTGAATAAGATTGATCCAGCTTTTCTTTGATTGAAGGGGGTAAAAGTGAGATGGATATTTCCATCTGGGTAGCTGAAAAGAATATTATAAAATCTGGACAGTTTAATGCAAATTACTTATTTGGACCAGTTGGCAAGCCCCAGCAGGGGTTAAACTGGGTAGAAGAACAGATTTTTGTCCTAGAGGGTTTTTGTCCAAGATGCAGATAAATGTCACTTTTCCAGATCCAGTCCATCACAACTCAAACAAGATCAGAAAACATATTTAATGTTTGATCAGAACATCTCCATTGTTATTAGTGAATTAATGCTGTTCAGTGGTTTTAGACGGACTCAATCGTCTCATCCGGTCTCTGTTTGTCCTCCCTGCAGACTTCCTAGAGCAGGTGGGGCTGAGACCGTCTGAGACCACCTTACCGTCTCCACCTGGTCCACAGACCGAGGGAAGCCCAACATCTCCACCTCTGTTTCAAACACCTGCAGCTCCAGACATCACCACCAACCCTGAACTTTCTGTCAGAGGTCAGTCTGAGGTCAGACACCACCTGACCTGCAGCTGTGTGCAAACAGATGTGACAGCATCAGAAGAATGTGCAAAGAAACAAAATGCCTCAAACCAACAGTTTCCTGAAAATATTTGTAAAAAGAAGTTAAAATAATAAAAAAAGAAATCATCAATATTGTCTTAAAACTGCTGCCACCAGCACCACCAGTATAAACTCTACAACTGAGCAGCTATACATGTAATTACTGAAAAAATCTTGTTTTTATTTTCCTGTTTCCCTTCTCATCTGCTCTGCACCGTCACCGACAGAAAAGATTTTCTGTAGGAAGTCTTTTCTGTCAGAGTGCTGCGACTCATAACGTCAGGCAGGAAAACCAACACTAAATCTGACCCATCAGCCTCGGCTTGGCCCGCAAACATTTACTCCCAAACCTTAGTTGTTGTTTTTAAAAATGAAGTAGTTGTGTTTTTATTTTGTTTTCATGTGTTTTATTAAAAACCAGATCTTTGTAAAGTTTGATTTTCACTTCTAAAGTTATTTCTACACAAATGAAGGAGAAGTTTTCATTTAAAGTCTTCTGATGAAGTCAGAGATACTAAAAGAGCATTTTTAACAACCGGACAGGTTCACATCTGGCTTTTTACTGAACTTGTTCGAGTGTAGAAACTTTCAGTTTGGTTCACTTCGACATGTGGTGGATGACCCATCAGATGGTCCAACTGAAGGTCAGAGGGTTTTCCTGACATGTTCCAGTTTTCCTGCTAGTTTCTCTCATTGTTTTATGATGCTTTGATCTTTAGTGAAGTGTAAAATCCAAGGAACACCACAAACAATAACCATCCTTGTTTGGATCAAACCTGGAATGATTTGGTGAAACAAACTCAGCTTTGTGGTTCTGTGATGGTGACTTCTCTAAGGCTCTTTCAGCATCAGAAATATTAATATTCTTACAGAAAGATTAAGTAAAACCATTCAGCTGAAAACCTCGTGATTTTCCTTAGAAATGACTCAGTTCCAGGTTATCACTCATTAACATCCAGTTTACATGTTGGGCTGAAAATTAAATGTCCACTCCTCAATAGCCTTTCCACTGTGGAGGCAGATGGTCTAGCTCCAGGTCCAGATCCTGGTCCTGGTTCTGTTGGAGCTCCAGTTTTCTATCAGGATCTTTTAAAAAGTAGGAAACAGAAAATGTTTTGTGTCTGAGAGGTTAGGAGAACCTGGGACGACAACRCAGAAGGCCAAAAACGATTCAGACATCCTGAGATGTTTGTTGACTTTAAACTGACTTAAACTTGATGTTCTTTGTAAAAAAAAATAAAAAGTGTTGCGGTTTCATCTCATGTTAAAAGTGTAAAATAGCTGTTGTAGACTAGTTTTCTTTCTTATTTTGTGCAACATGAGAGTCAGAGTCCAGTTTAGTTCTGGGTGCAGCTTGTCTCTTTTTCCAGAAGAATCTTGTTTTGTTGTTTTGGCTCGGGTCCATCGCTGGGTTTTTAGTTTGCCCAGTTTTTCTTTTCTTTTTTTGGATTCTGGTGTAAATGCTGATTCTCACAGTTCTGGTTCATCCTTTGTTTTCTTTGTCATTAATTCATGTAAAGCTGAAATTATTTAGGTTCAACTTAAATTATTTGTAAGCAGACAATCGGTCATGTGTACATTTGTCCTTTTTATGTTTTCAAACTGTTGAGCTGACATCTTCTTAATGTTTAGGACAGAGAGTCACCTTTCAATTTTTCTRTTTCAAATCTTTACAGCCAAGAAATCAGATCACTTCATTGTCCCGCCTGTTCAGACTCCTAGGGTTCAGGCACTCGGAGTTTCCTCTCAAAGAGGTCACATTTTTCTAAGGTTTTTTATACAAACCAAAAATCTTTTATAGAAAAACAATTCAACCAAGTTGAATAGACATAATAAACATTTGAACAAGCCTCATTCTGTCAGCAAAACAAAACCAACACATGTCAAAGAGAGTAAACGCWCACCAGGGTCGTAATGTGACAAAAACTAGAATGCTCTAAACAAAATTAKGTTTCTGATCAAAAATATGAAAATGAAGGAAAATATTTCAAAGTTGAAGTTTTACTCTTGTAGCAGGATTTCTGAAGTTCTGATGAGTCCAACTGAACCACAGAACCCAAAACKCCAAACTACAGCAGATCTTAGTCATGTTAAAAGCCCTCCACTCTGAACTCCCATTATTTTCTACAGCCTAACCYTGACTTATCTTAAACCTAATCTCAGTACATATGTGACTCGAAACACAACCACCCCAGTAAATACTTGACCCTAAACCCAACCTCCCCAGTACATACCTGACCCTAAACCCAACCACCCCAGCACATACCTGACCCTAAACCCAACCACCACAGTACATACCTGGCCCTAAACCCAACCACCACACTACATACCTGGCCCTAAACCCAACCACCACACTACATACCTGGCCCTAAACCCAACCCCCCAGTACATACCTGACCCTAAACCCAACCACCACAGTACATAGCTGACCCTAAATCCAACCACCCCAGTACATACCTGACCCTAAACCCAACCACCCCAATACATATTGCTCCTTTTCCACTAGTGCCACTTAGTGTAGTGTCGGAACGGTCAATGTCGGAACGGGTCAGTTAGGGTGCTTTTCCATTGACATTCCAGTCCAGTTCCAGTGGGTGTTTTAGGTGGTTGGTGGAGGTAGTTTTGGGGTTTTCTGAAAAAAGTTAATGCGCAAAATGAGAGATGGAAACACATTTGACGAATAACTTTTGAAATTTAAAAAATTCTCTTAAAATTCCAATTAAAATTGGATGGAAACAAAAGTAATGTCACTGCTAAAATTGAAAAAAAAAAAAGGGCACCTCGAGTTGTTGTTGCAAAGGTAGCTCAGACACAACCAGTGACTCCAACCCCTAGCAAATCAGTGACGAACAGTATTCTGACATTGCATTTTGGTGTCAACTGGGAACACTTGGAACCGCAATGAAGCAGGTACAAAAAAGGGCTGGTTCCATGAATCTGGCCTAATGGAAATGGCTTGGAACCATACCAAGCCATACCAACACTACACTAAGCGGCACTAGTGGAAAAGGAGCATATGTGACCCTAAACCCAACCACCCCAGTACATACCTGACCGTAAACCCAACCACCCCAGTATATACTTGGCCCTAAACCCAACTACCTCAGTACATACCTGACCCTAAACCCAGCCAACTCAGTACATACCTGACCCTAAACCCAGCCAACTCAGTACATACCTGACCCTAAATCTGACCACCCCAGTACATACCTGACCCTAAACCCTACCACCCCAGTACATACCTGACCCTAAACCCGACCACCCTAGTACATTCCTGACCCTAAACCCGACCACCCCAGTACATACCTGACCCTAAATCTGACCACCCCAGTACATTCCTGACCCTAAATCCGACCACCCCAGTACATACCTGACCCTAAACCACCCCACCTGCCCCTACTTCAATTCACACCTTGTTCTAAACCCTTCCTTAAAATAGCATCTGTATCTGTAGGGACCAGGATTTGGTCTCCATAAGGAGCATTGGGTCAACACAAGGCTGTTTTTCTGTAAAATGGTCCTCATGGTGTATCAAATAGGCATCCACACAAACAGACTAAGACTCACTGAGCAAATATTTCATCATGTTTCGGCAGGAGAGAACAGAGTCAAGGCCTCAGTCCGCCTGCTGACATCTTTTTATTCAAGGTCAGATTTTATTGGTTTGTGTGTTCAGTYCTATTAACACACATTCTGCCACTTGACAGATCATCGTTCTTCTATAATCACTTTCTTTTAAAAGTGTGCCCACATGATGCCTGCCTTATCTTGTTTTGCTCCCACCTTAGCAGCCGGCCCCACCTATATAATTTAATCTGCTGGAGTACACTTCAGGTATGAATAACAGCAGATTGGATTATTTATAATAAATATTCCTTATCAGGGTGTTTTTTAAGACCTGGACATTTCTGTCATAGCTTCTGTGTAGAAGTCATGGTACAACTGTGGTGACAGAAAAACAAAACTAAGTTTAGACATCTGTAAAACTTTCTTTTATACAGAAGAGGGTTAGAGCCACAGAGCAAAAAGTATATATATTTTTTCATGGATTTTGATTTTTTTTTTTTCTCAAAATCCCCCACAAAAAAACTCCAGGGGAAAAAAAAAACTCTGATGGTCCTAATCTTTTTCTATAATTTTAAGAGAAAATTTGTTGCACTGTTTTATTTTGAACTTGTTTCAAATTCAAACGACAGAACGGTGAGTCTGAGAACTCCTGCGATTGTTTGGAGACATGCTGGACTGTCATCTGCAGATGTCCCCTGCAGTGGCAGCACAGTGAGGAACTGGAACAGGAAGTGCTCAGGTGGGGTCCTGTCCCTGGTCCAGCTGCAGGTTGAGGCTGTAGACTCTGCTCTCCTGACTGTGTCTATTCAGTACCCAATCTTTGTCCACCTGTGGTCCTGTTGCCCTGCTTCACCTGCCAGTGTGAGGGGTGGGATGTCTGTTTATGTATTATAATGCTGTCTGTTCCAGGAGGATTTGAACATTATTCATTTTTGTAGCTTTTATCATTTTTATTCCTGCTTTCTTGTTTTTCCTCCCCTGACAGAAGGTAGATATTTCTGTAATATTATTGCTCTCTCTTTGTCTCTCGTGTTATGAAAGGCTTTTCTTGTGCTCAAGTTTACGATGGGAAATTAAAAACTGTAACAACTTGACACTGCCTACTGTGTTATTTTTTTTGTTTGTTTGTTTTTATGTTCATGCAAATGCTATGGGTTCACTGGGTCTGTAGAGAGATTCTTCTGCTTTGCATCACCACAATTTGTTGTGTGGCAAACAAACAGAAACACATGACCAAACTCAATTTCAGGTTTGTCACTGGAACAGTTTTAATGTTTCAGATGTATATCCAATCAAAAAGCTTGTGCTGTTTTTTATAAATTTTAAACAATGACAAATACAGTTTTATATAACTTCTGTTTTACATTCAAATCATGAAATTAAACTTTTTTTTCCRCTCTGAAAGCCATCGACCTTCAAACTTTTTCACAGCTTCATACACAGAAGTTGAATTAAAAACATTTATCATTTCCCAACGGCTCCTATTCAAATCCATTTCCATGCAGTCAAATTCATTCCAGTACAATCAGATGGCATAGAGTGGGATATTAAAATAAAAGTGACCAACTTTTTTTTCTGTTTTGTTTCATAACCTGGAACTTGATTACATTTTTAACTTGATTAAAAAGAAAGCGCAGAAACACAAAGTTCTCCTGATTAATGAATTTAAATTAGGGGTGATGTTTTTAAAGCCGTTAGGCAATAAAAAAAATTGAAAAGGGGTTGTGTGCAAATTTAGATACACCCAAGCTCAACACTTTGTGTTTCCATCTTCTGCATCAGGTCTCCTCGTGTCCATCTTCATGTCCTCAGACCAYTTAACCTGGACTTTTTTATTTGTCCTTCATAACCAAACATCTGCAGCTCCTTTTAGTTAGATACTGCTTGTCTCCAACAATCTTCGAATCAAACCAGAGATTCTCAGATGAACTAAGGCCTGAGATTTGACTGGACCAGTCCAGGACTTTTGCTTGGTTCAGGTCTAGTGTAATGTGACTTTAGCAGGGTGTGTATAAGGTCATTGTCCTGCTGGAAGGTGGACCTCTGGTCAAGTTTCAGATCTCTGGAAGAGTCGTACATGCCCTGAAGACTTTTACTCCAGCCTTCTTTAACTTTGTCTAGTTTATCTGCTGGTGGAAAACATCCCCACATCATGATGCTGCCACCGCCATGCTTCACTGTAGGATGATTTTCTCAACATGATGCTGCCCMCAATATGCTTCCTTGTATCACGACTTTGGGATCAGTAGTGTTTTTGAATTTGAATTTATCTTTCAAATCAAAGCAGCAAGGACGGGTAAGAATGTTTTCTCTGTACATGAAAGCCTTTCACAAAATGTCACATTTACAAATGCAGCACACGTGAAAATGTTTCCTTTGTGGAGGTCAGTCGCTGAAGATTTGTTTTTGAGTTGGCCAATGCAAAGCATGTTGGAACAACTCTCCATGCATAAAGGGTTCAATTTAAAAATACTTCAGACAAACAAACGTGCTTTACTTTCTTTTTAGAATAAATAAAACCACACATCATCTACATAACTGCAGAGGGCAGAAAGCTCTGCCCCTTTCCTTTAGAAACTGAATCAGCTGAAACAAATTTAGAGTTGGACAAAGTTGTCAGGATGATGAATCTGTTAGGAGGTGGATGTTTGAAAAGTTCCTGATAATAATAGCTGTGCTGCAGTAAACACACACATCAGAAATGTGAGTTAGCCAGTCAACTGATCCATAAAGGGACAGCTAGTCAGTCAGTCAGGACTTACTAAATCTAGTCAGCTAACTAGCAGCTGTTTCACCTGTTTCAGTCTCTAAAGTTTAGGGCAGAGCTTTCTGCCCTCTGCAGTTATGTAGATGATGTGTGGTTTTATTTATTCTAAAAAGAAAGTAAAGCACATGTTTGTTTGTCTGAAGTATTTTTAAATTGAACCCTTTATGCATGGAGAGTTGTTCCAACATGCTTTGCATTGGTCAACTCAAAAAAAAAATACTTTGATTCATGAGTTGCTGCTAGGTTTTTTTTTGGTCATTTGTGTTTGTTATGAAATTGTTCTTAAATTTAATTTCACTTGACATTAAAAAGTCTTTAAAATCTTAAATTTAACTTGCTTTAAACTGTAGGAACCCTGGAGAGGTGAAACATGAAGGTTTCAGCCAGTTTGTCCTGCTAGCTAGCTCAACTAGCCCCAGGTAACACTAGTTAGCTGACTAGATTTAGTAAGTCCTGACTGACTGACTAGCTGTCCCTTTATGGATCAGTTGACTGGCTAACTC